AAAATTATATTATATTCATTATTGGCATTTTATATATAATTAAATTAAATCAAATGAAAATTACGCACTTCGATCACGAAAAACACGAAGAAAGAAAAAATAACTAATGTGTGATTCGCGAAGACCTACTCAATAACAGAATACAGATTACTGCTTGTACCGATGGGCCTAGGATAAGATARGAAAACGACTTCGACAAATTATTACGTACAAGATTATACGTTAGTTTAGATAATATTATAAGCAAAATATTACATAATATTAAATGCATTTAAAAACCATATATAATATATATGCAATAAAAAATTGTAAAATACAGAAATATGCATGTAAAAAAAAAAAAATGGCAAAAAATGCAAAATAAAATTTTGTATTTCAGATCTATTGACTATGATTAAAACTTGTAGCTTGCCTAGCTACTTTTTGGACTGTTTTAAAAAAAACACGCAAATGATGCATAATATTATAAATCCATATTGGCTCTATATAGTTATAACTTATAATATAAAATTATTGTCGGGCACATACCTGCAATGGCGTTTCGGCAACACTCTTTGATGTTCGCCGGACACTTCTCCTTACACTTTTCCGCTCGTTTTTCACTGATCGTGCTCTTGAGGGCGCTGGGCTGCGCGTCCGCCGACACCGCTCTCGTCTTCGACGTTTCCTCACCATCCATCGACGATTTGTTGACGGCGTGCTTGGCCATCGGTCCCGGAGTGCCGTCGCGGTCGCCTGACGAGGGTCTGGACGCGGACCTTGTTGACGCTACGCTACTGCTGCCCCCGGCCTTGCTCAGCTGATCTGGTTTAAATAGATTCTGATATAACAGGTCTGAAATTATAGCGGTTTTTTTCCTTTTTTATAGATGTTTAAAGAAGCGCCCAAAGTTGGTACGATTGTCATACGCAATATAATATTGGTAACTCGACTTGTTAGGCAGCTGGTTACGATGAGTGGTTAGAATATAGTGGTTACAGTGGTTRTGGTYGGTAAAGACCATAATATTTATCAGTAGATAACCGTAGTGGTATAGATTTTGGTAGAGGCAAGATACGGTAAAGACGTACAATAGTATTACAATATTATGTCGGCGAGTGCTGAATATGTGTTCCCAATAAAAGTTTTCGATATTTGCAAGTGTTTTATTTTACAATATTAAATTATTTATTTGTATTATCATCTGCAGTTCAAATTATGTGCGTGATATTTCTCAATTATATCATATAAATTATATTTTTTAACTTCAAATACCTAGTAAAAAAAAGTAATTAAAATGAAATGAAATATTATTTTAAATATTTACCTAGGTAATTATTCCGTAATTATTTTTGCAACTTGATATTTAAATTTACCATAAAATGTTTGAAACAGATTATTTTGACTTTTATATTCTWAGTTACATACAATGCTAATGCGAGGTGAAACCGCCGAACCATCAGAATACCGGACACTCTTAGTCGTTGAAATATTATCCGCTATTYGGGGGTGTACGCTATTAGAAAGTACAGATTTTAGTTTGTTCATTTTCATTTTCTGTTATGTTCAATTTCTGTTGATTTTAGTCTATCCATTCAATTAACACATATTTTTAATSATTATACCTACAACTGAAGAACTCGCATAATAGATAAGTAAGTATTTWAAAATATAACAGATAATTTTAAATGTACCTACATATTTAAATAATTATATTTATACTGAAACACATATTATAAAATGTATTTAACTTCTTTTTCATTCGAGTAGGTTTTGGTAGTAATATGTGATTACTGTGTAATAAAATACTGKTCGACTCATATTTCTATTTTAAGTCTCAAAATTGGAAATAATTGATTCTGMAATAACCAAAACTATAAAAATTTTATTTCGATGAACCGATATCAACAAAACTATTAATAATACGCTTTAAATGTTTATCTTTAGTTGTATRTTTAGTTAATATTGTAGGCATAGGCGCAACTATAGACCTCTAAAATGTGGGGTGCTATACTATTAAAAACATAAAATTGATGTTATTTTATTATAATTATAATAGTTAGATCTAAAATATCAAGGGGTGCTAAAGACCCTTTTGCACCCCCCTAGTTGCGCCAATGATTGTAAGTAAGTTATGACAACATTTTAGAACATCCATTTTCTTATTATAGGTAATTTCATAGTTCAAGGGAAATAAGGTTAAAAAAAAAAATAACCCAAGTGTTAAACCTCTAATGCGTATATTTAGTATCAGTGTTGAATCCAGACAATTTTTCTGGGGGGGCTCACTTTTTTTTTTCATTGGTGAATGGTGATACATCATTTTAAGTATTATGAATTATATATTTATATCTATTAATAGGTAGTTATTCTTACATTATAAATCGTATTACCTATTATTATTATTTATTGCAATTCAGAAATTATAAAGATTTAAAGGGTTATAAAACAAATTAMTAATTTTTAAATTTTTAAATCAATCGAAGGTTAATCTAATGTCGTCACATATTATAAGTTGTACTATTAAAATTTATTACAATTCAGAAATTATAAATACTGAAAAAATTACAAAATAAATTAGAAACCTATTAATTATTTATATTTAAATTAGTATTGTGCATTTAATAAATAAGTACATTTTGTTGAAAGTCAGAAAGTTGTATTTGTCAGCGAGGGGCGAAAGAAATTTCAGGGGGGGGGTGAATGCCCCCCCCCCTTGAAGTACCTATACCTGGATTCAACACTGTTTAGTATACCTAATATATTATAACTTATATATATTTACTTATAAGTAGCCAAGTAGGGTTCGGATTTGAAGGCAAATGCCTTTCTTTTATTAATCATAATAGAAAAATAATTTTTATACAAAAATGTGTTTCATTTAATTTCTTAGACGATAGATCTTTTTTTTTTTGCCTTTTTTTGCCTTTTGTACTTATAAATGCCTATTTTGTGTTTAATTTTCAGTTGATTTTATAATTTTATACCCAGCTACAGTATTACTATTATCACTTTAAATGGGTTTTATTATTCGCAATATTTATCGATATCGTCTTATCGAGTATTTGGTATGGCCATAAAATTACCCGAACACCTATTTAAAGATTAAGATATGTTCGTAATGCRTAGATTCAAGATTGTTCGTCAGTCCGCCTGCATTTRTCGATCGCAATAATTGTCGTTCAATAATTTTTCCACGCGTTTATTTTATTCTGTCTTTCAATTATGCCAAAAGTTAAACAAAATCACAATTCCAAGTTGAAAAAGTATGTTTCAGAATTCGGTGAAAATATTTTTTCAACCGATGGATTAATTTTATATTGTAAAATTTGTGACATCAAAGTGTCAAGTGAGAAAAAATTCCATATTCAGCAACATATCGGAAGAGATAAACACAAAAATGCGCTTGCAAAAATTGAAAATAGTAAAAAAATTCATGGATGGGAAAATATCAAAAAGATCAACCAAGTATTTATTGGAGAAACCACAAGCGATGACGATCTATCAAGTAGCATTCTTAATTTAGATAATTATTTAAGTATGAAATACGCCCCGATAACTTCGGTGGACGTAGAAAGATCGTTTTCGATGTACAAAAATATTTTAAMCCCTAACCGTAGCCGTTTTTCTGAAGACAGCTTATCAAAATACRTGGTAGTCAATTTTTTTTTTAATACCAACTAGTTTATTTTGCATTAAATTAACTGGTATAACTCAAGTAAGTTAATATTTAAAATTGTTTTTAACTAATTTTTAGGACAAACCTGGTTAAAGAAAAAGGTACCAAATCTATTTATACAAAATAGCATAAACTTAATGTAGTTTAGCATTCATGCTCATTTTTAATTTGCATTTTTCTCAAAATGTGTGCATTTGAAAGTGTTTAAAAAATGTTCACTATTTTATTTTGTATAAGTAGTATATTTATGAATTGCCTTTTTATATAAATTAAATGCCTTTTTTTGCCTTTTTTTACATTTTAAATGCTTTTTTTATTGATTATATTGCCTTCAAATCCGAACCCTACTTATAAGTTACAATAGCCTATTGTGAAAAGTTATTGATCGTTACAAAATCTTACTTGAGTAGTCGGGTAGTAAACTAGTATCGATATTAACTGAAAAACTAATATTACCTGAATCATAATGTATTCATGTTTATTACTACTTAAAGTAGTAATGTACTAGGCCGTATACCATTTGCGCATCGTCTGTTTCCCTGTCCAAAATATCGTATATCGTTTACGCATCATCGATACATCATCGTTGACGCATTGTCTACTTACCTGCATCAATAATATTCTGAACAATAAAATAGGGTATAAAAAATGGTTAGGTTAAGTACTACATGATGTATAATAATTAATTTTATGTATAGAGAGAGAATGAATAGTTTAAGATTCTTAAAAATAAGAATAATAAACTTACATAAATATTTTTAAGTTCAAATCTCGACAAAATTCATCAAAAATCGAAAATTTAATTCTAAAACATTGCATTTATACTTGTATCACATTATACTCGGCATTATATTTATGCAATATTTGAAAATTTAATATTATGTGAGTATTATTTAGAGATTTTAAGACCAAAGTTAGAAAATAACTTGCACTTTGGGAACTTTGGGTGTACACCTTTTTTCATTTATATTGTTAAATAATAATGATGCACAAATGATGTAGGACCTTTTAAACGGTCAATSCGAAAACGATGTACCTATAACCCACAAATCTAACGATAATTGTTTTATAAAAAGGTCAAAATTAACAATAGCGATGTGCAAACGACAACCGGCGAGGTATTACTTAAATGACTTACCACTTGGAGTGGCGTTTTTCAATTCATATTGTATTTCACATTTCCAAATTTGTTTACAACAGAACGTTTTATTTTAATAAATATACAGTAATAATTTTTTTTTCYAATTTTTAATTTTTCTTGAGTTTAACTTATCTTAGRAGTAGGTACCTACATTATGACTTTAGAAGTATACTATATCATATCATTTATTACAACGTTATATATTATAATACTACTAAATGACTTGTTCATAATAATTTATTATAATATATTAATATGACTCATGAATATATACGACTATAATCATAAAGTAATACTAATACTTGAACATACGACAGTAAGACAATATACTATATTGTAATATTGTATGTATTTATAAAACTATGTTAAGATTTAATTATTATCGTGAAGATAATAATATTGTTGAACTGTTTGTATTTTAATAATTGTGTTATTATTAACGATAATTGTTTATTTAGGAAATCATACTTCATGACTAACAAGTTGTTGAATTAGAGACCATGAGTTGAAAAATCATTAAATTTTAAATTCATTTCACTCAATTTTTAAATAACACATAAATATATATAATTTATTATTTTCGAAATCGTATAAACTCCTAATGTATATTTTTTTCAAGAAAATTTAAACTTTAAAAAAATGTTCTTAGATGTAATTATTTGTTCTTCTAATGAACGCATTTTTGTGTAAATACCTACATGTTTTTTCTATAAGACGTAAGTGACTTATGTATTTATATAGGTAATAGTGATAAAATATTAATAGCACAACTTAATTTTTTGTCAATTTTTATTTTTTTTATTTAACAAGCTGTTAAAATATCTTTAAATAAATATCCTGCTATTATATGAAAACTTGTCCCACTTAATTATAGTAATGATAGTAATAAATAATAATAATATATTTTTTAATTGAAAGATGGTTAATTTTACATATTGGAAGTATCAATAATGTAATATTATAGTAACTACATTATTTATATGGAAGTATCTTGTATTTTTGTCAGAGGTAATGCTTATAACATTTTAAACCGTTATTTTAATATCACATATACCCACGGCCGYGGCATATGTTTATTACTTATGTATCAAACAAAAAGTCTGTTAAAATCATTATTTAAAAAATACACGAAATTATCATTGATTTTGTTGTTCGACCGTAAATTAATGTTATTAATATCATAAATCATAGTAGCATATCTTATTGATGATTAAAAGTACAAAAATTGAATATCCCATGGCATAATTAGGTATCTATTATTACTCAAAATGACGCGTGAATATTACAATTTATATTTTATATAATGTATCATAGTTAGCGTAAATAATAATATCAATAAGCGAGATCTACTTCTGGCATTCTGTACTTACTTTTATCGTTCTTGAGTTCGTCCAACTTGATACTGGTCACGCAACACAAACACGCCATCGTCAATACCAGGGTAAATTTATTGATACGTATCATGTTTAGAGCTTCGGTGCTCAACCATCTACTGCACGAAAACATGTGATCGTTTCCGTAAGATAACTTCACCTTATATACAACGACCCAATTGTGCGTACGGCATTCGTCAGCGTATTTTAATTAATCGTTGTTATTATTCGAATTGGGACACCCAGTGCGTCTCTCAAAGGATCATTAAACTTTCCTCTTTCCGGACCGTTAAAAATCAATTGTTCAAAAGATAATAATAATTATTATTATTCATAGTATTATTCTCAACCTAACAGTTAGTCACCACTATGTCATATCACAGACGCAATTCACCTTTATACGTGTGTTTGTGTGTGTGTGTGTGTGTGTGTGCATATTTGCGAGTGGAGAGATGTATTTTAAAATTCCCAAACAGAGACGGACGTTTAATTTTTATTTATAATTACACACCAAAAAAAAAAAAAACAATTTAAAGATAAAATTAATAATATAATAATCCCAAAAGTAAATATAATATATTAATAGATAATATTATTTTTTTTACTATAATATTATAATTAATATAATTTTGTTTATAAATTGTTATACATGCTGCTATATGCAGGTTATAGGTACTGCATATTATAGACTTTTATTCTTTGAAGTTAAGGCAGTTGCGTCAATACATTATATATATAATTATTATGTACCTATAGGTAGCTGCAAGTATTTTCCATTTCCGTTAAACAATCTTAATGTCGAATTTAAAGCAGCATACGTCCTTCCGATTGGCATTAGGTCCATCATCCCAAAACTTCAACTTAACTGTGTAACTATCCTTAGGATAGTCTGTGGATATGTATAAATTGTACAACCAGTCCTGTTCAACGTTCATCATTATGGGGCAATTTGTATATAAGCATGCGTTCGGATCCATGTCCTTAAAAGGTATGTCCATACCAGCAGTTACAGCGTATAGTCTTGTCTTTGGTGTTTTCGAATCGAATCCTGAAATTAATTTCTAATATTTTTAATACAAAGAGAAGTCAAAAGTTTAATATTATAAAATATAATATAATCATAATAAGTATTGTTCTAGATYTAACACTATGGATGGTGTAAAGTTATGATTTATGGATATTATATTAACACGTATATGAGTTATTGTTGATTTCCAGAATATTATAAATATGGCTGGGTGTATAAATAACGACATTGATTTAGAAATTAATTTAATATTGAACAAAAACAAGCTATATCAAATTTTAAACTTTTATTGTGCCATTAATTTATACTAACGGTTTCATTATATTTTTACTTTAAGAGTATAACAGCTTTTACTGTTTGTTTTCTCTCTCTGGCTCAAACGAAACATAGATAAAATGTATTTACGAAGAATCAGTTTTTCTTATGTTTTTGAATAATGTTTGGGTAAAGTTACMTATAGGCTATATTAAAAAACCGACAGAGATAGAGATTTTTTATTTTGAAAGTCGAATACAAAATCAAACAATAAGAAAATATAACTGACTTTAAATATAAATAAAAGTATATTTGTTATACATTCTCCATAACGAATGCTTATATTCCGATAGACGATATTGTTATATACTCTTGTGATACAAATAATATATTATTAACATCCTATAATTGCTAAAAAATAATTAGAGTAACAAGAATTAAATATCTAGGTTTAATTTTCGATTGGAACTTACCCTGGAAAATACATGTTTCAGACATGGTTATGCCCCTATAAGGTCTGAAATTTTCAATATGCATAAACTAAACAAAATATTATCAAAAGTAGCCATATGCACTGTATATAATGCGTTATACAAATCAATTTTCCAATACGGCTTAATAGTTTGGAGAGGATGTTCTAAAAATGCAATAAGGCCTCTATAAAAATACAACAAAACTTAGCTGTCAGAATATGCTTGAATAGGTTCCTCTGTTTCAAACCACAAAGAATTAAGTGCATTACCGGCCAGGTTGCTGTATAAGCAATTTACCACATTATATGTTTCTAAAAATATTAGTTTTACACAGAGGTGACTACACAAAGAGAAATATTGGAAAATATTTTCTGGACTATATACCTAGGTCCATTTAGTTTTAATGAAATGACATTACATCTTAAAAAAAATTTTTTTTTAATATAAACAAAAATCCTGGWATCAAATAAATAAAAACGTAATTGTACATTTATTGATAATCGAGCTTTAATTTTAAGCTATATTTGTATTTTATTTTGTTGTAATTTCAAATACAAAATATTGTTACTTGTATTTGTATAATAATGATTTATAAATTATTACAATAATATGTAATTTTTATAATTACTCAATTATCCCCACCACAAGAATTTGCTTAAGGAGATAATTTAATTTAAATATGTATATGTTAGTATTAATAATTTATTTTAATTGTAATGTACCTATTTGATTAAAAACAAAAATAATAATAAAACCGACAATGTCATACCCTCAAAAATATTATTATTCTCTATAATTTTTGTCATATAGKTAATTTGACTTTAAGACTACTCAAAAATCATAAAAAACTGTCTAGGCGAAAGGTTTTTTATCTATGTTGTGCGTAAGTCTGAGAGAGAAAACAAATATTTTGCTGATATTCTCTAAGATTTACATTGTAGTATAATACACGTGTTAGTAGTTTTTAATATTCGATAAATCACACCACATTTCAATTAACAGAAACTCATATTTACAGAAGCTGAATGTGAAGCTAAATTATAATATTATAATAATATTATAGTATTTAGGTAACTGTTTGAATATTATTTCGKGATTGGATTGWATAATTTTTATGATGGAAAATTGTTAATAGTCTACTAGGTGATAATAATAGATAATTTAGATTCCTAACAAGTTTTACATACATYAACCAGACAACAAACCCATTGCCATCATCCGAATTCCTCGTAGCATTTTTATTCGCATCCGGGGATACTGCAGACGAGGAATGTCGGCGGATGTACGTATATCATTATACAAYTGTGTAGTGCTATTATAACTATAAGTATGTTTCCTATTCAAATGATTATTCAATGAAAACTGTGTCAGTATATTTTTTCAGCTTTTTATCATCGTATGAACACTGTTTATTATATACGACAATAATAAGTCATATTATATTTTAATTATGGATATTATAATTTTTTGAGAAACTTTTTCCAAATAATAGTTTTATAATTAGGTAAAATCATTTCTATTGCAGCTTTGTAAATATTCTCTTATAATTCAAATCCTAATCAAAATGTATGTCAACAATAAATTTACTTGTTATTGATGCTATTATATTGGTTATTGGTATTAAGGATTTTGTGCGTCTCGAATTTTTAAATTGTATTTGTTAAATTTAATTTATGAAATAGGAGTTCATTGATTGTATTTAACGTTTTTCCTTTACTGATTGTGTTTGAATATTGGGATATATGTGGGAAAAAATTTATATATAAAACAGATTTACTACAGTGTACAGCTTACATGTCTAAAAATAAGAACTATGAAGTAGTAAAATAATTGTTTGTGTATTGAATTTGTGTTGTAGTATACACTATATAGGTATATTATGTTTCTATTTTATTGAAACAGTATTAGTGAATTCTAATGCTGTTGTAATTTAATTTATTGTGACCTACTAGCAGTTACGCGTGAACAAATTTATAAATATCAGGTTTTCTGTTACACCCTGTACATCGTATTATAGATTTTAATGCATGATGATTGAGTTTAATAAATGACCAATAAGCCTATATAATTACAATTTACCTATACTGTGAGCAATACAAATATATATACAGTAGAGCCTCGATAGTCCGGACGAATTCAGACCGAGCATCGTCCGGATTATCGATTTTTCCGGATTACCGGAGGTTTTTCAAAATTACCTATACTCAAATAATTACTAAGATTTTATTTTAGATTCTGAACGAAGTGATGAATGTATTGATTTTACAATGATGTGT